AAGGTCGTGGGTTCGAATCCCGTCAAGGGCCCGACGTTGTGTCCTTGGGAAAGGCACTTTACACGAATTTTCCTCACTTCACCCAGGTGGGAATGGGTACCCGGCTATAGACAGCGAAAGATCTTGTCAGTTTGTTAGTGTTTGAGCGCTTAATCGGCTGCTTGCACTGTATGCTTCCCGGGAAGCTGAGAATGTTTCGGAGTGTTCTATGGTCTGCTGGGGTAATAATATAGTGTAAAGCGCATAGAGCCTGCTGCTGAGCGGGGATATGCGCTATACAAATGCTATCTATTATTATTATTATTATTATTTAACCCATTCCTGCACAGTGTTCATTTAATGGATCATGTCATTTTACCTCCACTGTAAGAGCAGTACAATGTTGGAACAAAATTATTCAGTACTAAACAATAATAATATTATACTGTATCTGATTTGAAACCAACGTATCCGTTTTACAGAATTATGCCCCCTGTTCCAAGATGGCGCCGCAAGTGAAACACTCTAGCCAGCACCGCCTCATAAAAGTTATTATAATTTTTTGTACATATTTATTTTTGCTTCTTTTTATAAATTGTAACAATAGGTTATCTTCTATTTAAGAAGGTCACTATCTTACTCATGGCTATTTATCAAAATTTCCTAACTCTTTTGACCTCTGAAAGTAGATCCAATAATGGAACACTATGCACGAGAGGGTGACTGTTTTTTCCCGAGGTGAGATTTCACCTTTGAGTCTCACTGTGTCTATTAATTGGAACGATATTTGGGTTCTCTATCCGTTGTAATGTAACGGAGACATGTAGATGGTTTAACACTCTTTTTTCTGTAGCCCAATCATATATGAGCGTAAGAAAGTGAATGTGAACCAGCTGTTGGGTGTTTGGGAGTCCTCTCAGGCCTATATTCTCGTACTGAGTCTTTATAGCATGTCCCTTCGGGTATTGGGTTTTCATTTCAAGAAACGGATTTCAAGAGCTTTTGTTTAATTAGTTTCAAGTGAAAGAAAGAAACCATTTTATTCCTTGTTATTTGTATTATATTAGGTGGAATATGCCCCCCCCCCCCCCGCCCTTGTCGACCAGCACTATGATCACATGCAAATACCAACATACCGTCACAAGCACTTAACATCCTGATATGTTTGAACAACATGTGCTGAAACTGTTTAGTTGACCAGGGGCGTGCTGTTAGCTCAGTTGGTATAATGCTTGACTACGGAGCAGCAGATGGCTCTGGTTCGAATCCTCTTGAATATGGGGTTTGAAGAGGGGTTTGGAAGAGGGAGTTTTTAAGGTTCGCTGGCTGTTTTTCTTGGTCCTAGAGGCGATGGCTGTTGAGTTCGGAGGCCCCAACCGCGTCTTTAATAACTTTAAAGTGTTGATATCGGTGATTACATTTTTGATTATACCAATAGCTCACCAGATTTATTGTCATTAAAAACAGTCCAAAAAGTGGTAAGACGTTTTGAGGTGAGCTGCTTAGACATTATTAGGCTGAAAGACCGAGTTGCAACCGCCGTAAGTGCGGAAGAACAGGATGCTGTCCGGACGGCCATGAGAACAACTAAGCAACATGGTATCACATTATCCTGACAGAACAGTTAACCACAATTTCAAACGCTGCATTGCTTATACAGCAGCTGATGGCCTAAATCAACATCAAAGTTAATGCCCAAATTTACGTCAACATGGACTCCGCTCAAAACGGCCCTGATGTACTTGCCATTTGCGATGGCCACGTCAACAATGGTCAAGTGAGCTGTCCATAGATGAGTCGAGATTCACAGTGTTCTTCAATGACAGCATGATCCGTGATCGGGGATGCCCCTGTGAAACCTTTCAGGACAGCTGTGCGTAGGAACATAACATCTTTGTATGGTGATTCTATCACAGTGAAGGGTGGCATTCATGTCAGAACAACAGAACATTCCTCTAGCGTATTCAAGGAAATTTAACACGAATTCGCTACAAGGATGATTCTTTAATCCATTGCCTTGTCTGCTCTGAAGTCAATGGGAACCACGTGCTATTCCCAAGGACGATGATGCTTGACTTCACGATACTCGTGTCGAAGACGTAGTCCCGTAACGCCAGTGAGTGGTCAGGATGGTCTGACCGGCTTGCTCACCTGGTCTCAACCCTCCAGAATATTTACTGGATGTTCTTTTTTGCAACACTGTTGAACCGACTTGTACCCACGACCTCCGCCCAACAACGGCTACGAATTCTTTTGCGTTCTAGAACAGACATGTCAGGCAATACCACAGCCCATTCTAAGAAAAAAAATAATTCAACCCATGATGATGCAACGTTGCACTGACTGTTTAAATCTTAATGTTAGTGTTTTTAAGCCTCTCGATGATACCGTTTGATAAGTGTGGCTTTGAAAAATGGGGATTCCTCATTGAACACCTTGAATTAGACACACAAACACCAACATTGTCAAATCCATATGTTGTAGAGCTCAAAGGAGTGAATTAAGTATCCTTAAAAATTGAATTGTATTTGGGAGGAAATTTTGATTCAGTTTATCAATTTATGTATTTCGACACAGAACATGTATTTATTTTTCTCGATATGCCAGATACATGGTTTGCATCCGACTATTAACGGGCGATGCATTCTCTTTGATGCCCCATTCATTTTCTCTTCAGCATGACTTGAAATACGGATAGGGGAAATAAATACCTGTTGATGTGAGCAACAATCAAGGCTGTCATTGTTAGCACGAGATTGCTTTGGAGCATGAAACAATATTTATTATTATCTTTTCTAATGTAGAACTGTGATTTAAGTAAGGTAAAATTTGGTTTCCGCTTGTAAAGAACAAAGACCCTTCACTCTGGAAAGGAGTGCCTTAAGATAGTATACGAACACTTCGAAAAATTAATGTAAACCTACATGAAAGGACAAAAAGAGTATATCTAGGTTTTTGAACCTCAGAGTTCAACTCAAAGAGAATCAAACATATTCTTAAAAAGTAAAAGCCGCTATATTTCCTAAGTGCATGGCCAGTAGTATCAGTGTTTACCTTCTAGCTTGTACACGCCTCATACCACAAATTTATGTTACATCATTAAATCTGATGATAACTTACCAGACAACGATGTGAATGAAGCAGGTTCGAATGTCGGTTTGGGGTATTTTCAGACTTTTGTAATTTTGGGGAATACTCAAAACTCTCCAGCCAAGAGGCAAAGTCTAAAAGCAGGTATCCCAACTCTTGCATACCCTTTGGGAGTCAAACAAAGCGTAAAAATCTTTTCATGTTCTTTGATATTAGTGTTGAAGCAGCAGTACATGTCTCATCAATAAAAGACCACGATCATCACTATTGCAAACACCGTCTCTATTGTCACCACCGTCACCATAAACAACAACTTTGAAGTACATGTAGCTTCAGATGCAGGACTTTCGTAGGCAATGTTATTACTATAACTTTGAGTAATATTATGACAACTAACATCAACATTAAAAAACTAAGGACACCTCCACCAACTCCAACATGTGTGTGTGTGTGTGTGTGTGTGTGTGTGTGTGTGTGTGTGTGTGTGTGTGTGTGTGTGTGTGTGTGTGTGTGTGTGTGTGTGTGTGTGTGTGTGTGTGTGTGATCATTTGCCATGTTTTAGCAAAGTTCTCTTTGTGAAGAGCAATAAATTAAATTTGCGTTATCTTATTCTATCTTCTCTGTAAGCGTGTTGTTGCGTCGATCCTTGTCTTGGGTAGCTTTTTTTTTATATAAGCCAGAGAGACATTAACAACTCAGACACTTTTCAAATTCTGTACCCGTTCATCTTCACAATTGCTTCTTACACAGGAGGCTGAACATCACAATGACAGGTAAATAGGTGGCTAAGAAAGAAAAGGAACCTTCGAGTGAAGCTGTTTAGTAACAAGTAACCGGTCGCGGTAATGTATCTCTCTGAGTCCTACCCTGATTCAGGGGTGTGTTGTCTTTTAACATCTAGCAAATAGTCTTCACAAACGAACACAAGACCACAGTCGTTACAAACAAGTAGAACATGTAGTAAAAGTACCAAAAAACCATTTGATAAGTTTCAGATTTTTCATTTATTTTTGTATGCATTATCAAAGACATACAATATATACAGCACCAAGGAGTTCAAGTGTATTGCACTTCGATCAAAACTGAATGAGTATTGCACATATACAACAATGGTTTCCTCACATATCAGACATTGAAATGTAATAACTTACATTCTTCTCTTTGTTTGTTATTTCGATTTCAGAAACGCATGTAACCTTCATCCATGCCTTTATGCTCACTTCTCACTCTCTCATTCCTTGAACATACATTTAGGCAATATATTGTCTCTTAAAGACAAGTTTAACATTTGGTCCCGGTCAGAAACATTTGAGATTCATTCTCACTCTCAATAATTATTAAGCAATCTCCATGAAGGCACTAGGATAGGATAAAGTGACGAATGGACAAATCAAGGCATGGTATAACATAACATAGTACATCACTGACTGAAAACTGGATGTTGTCTTTGAGCATGAAATCACTGGGACTATAATTTAATTTGACTTTGTATAAGATAGGGGGAAACAAAAGAGGTGGAGAAAGAGGGAGAGAGAGATAGAGAGATAGAGAGATAGAGAGAGAGAGAGAGAGAGAGAGAGAGAGAGAGGGGGGAGAAAGAGAGAGAGAGGGAGAAAGAGAGAGAGAGGGGGGGGGGAGAGCGATATAACGAAGAGTGTTGATGCGAAAGAGATGAAGAACAAGTACAGTGAAGTGTTGGGCACGGAGACGTATCACATGATTTCTTGTAGCTGTTCAACTATACAACGGTGATAAAGATGACAATGATGATGAGCAGGAGAAGCAGAAAGGTGATAATAACTTTGAGAAAGATGACCAGATGATCTCGCTCGTCCAGTCACACTCTATTTTTGGAAAAAGTCCACAAGGCAAATGCAAGAGAGACACAATAATCGACACAAAAGCGAAGGACTATTGTTATCAAAGTCTTGTTTTTTTTTTTCATCTTTTTTAAACTATACAACAGACAGAAAGCAGGCACAGGTTGGCGAAGAAATGAAAAGATAAAGACACAGACAGAGTATACAATTCAGGCAGAACTACATACAGGAAAGCACCATAGGGTTAGAGAACAGACTAGAAGAGACTGAATGCCCCCTGTCAATGTTGTTGAAATTATGATGCATTAATTCAGTCTCAAAAATAAATGGCCCAAACGAAATGATTGGTCAGGATCAATTTTTTCTTAAAGAATCGCGCAAATCATTGCACTGTTGCATCGCTTGTAGTGTTATGACCGAAAAAAGTATAGTTTTAGATGTGTACACGTTTGTATGTGCCTGATTTCTGTTTACTTTTCAGTTATATGTCTGTGAAATTATTTCAAAGGCCTAGCATTACAGACCCGTAAGAATGATAAGTCACAAGCGGCGAGCAAAAAGTTATCACATAGAGCAGTATATAAATAACTTTTGGGAAAGGGAAAACATACATGAAAGCATGCTGGCAAAGTATTTCGATTCAGGTGTATTTTGTTTCAGCAAGAGAAAGCAAAGTGCTCTTTCATGTGGAATTGTTTTCAGAAAGTTTGACCCAATTAGAAAGAGAGTGGGGTAATATGAAAAAAATATGATCGACAGAATGTTTTGTTATTATCATATCTTTGTGATCCCCCCCCCTAGCGAGTGGGGTCAACAATGTATATCTTTGACAACCATGGTAGACATCACAAGTCCGTAGATAGAAGTAATGGAGGGCTGATCTTATTAGCACAAATTACGTCATATAAAAATCACCGAGAGTTCTGTAATGAGGTCATTGGTTCATCGTTTGCCGTACACAAGCTGTAACCAGTTTGTGATCAGTTCGTTAGCGAGTACGGTCCTTCGGATGGTTCATCACAACCACGAGTCACGGGGAACACTGTGTTTACACCTTCTCCGGCGACGCTTGACGGCGGCAATCGATAGGCATCTGAAGCCACTTGGGGTGTGGCAGGATCACAGCGGGTCGATGAAACAGGAGCAGCAAATGACGTCCATGTTTCTTCTCGAGGTGGTTTAAGAACTTTGAACAATGTTGCTCTAACTGGCAGTTCTCGTTGAGATAGCAGCAGTAATAAGCGTTATTGTCACTTTGTTCAGCGAGCGAAGAAGCGTCCGATGATGTTGACCTTCTTCTTTCTGAACTTGAGAGCGGAACACACGACGTGCTCGAAGACTTCTTTCAAGCCGTCCCTTCTCTTGGCGGAGCACTCGATGTAGCAGTCAGCACCGATAGCTTTGGCCATTGCTTCACCTTCTTCTGTAGCCACCTCACCCTCGTTGCCATTGCGCATGTCAATCTGTGTTCCGACCAGGAGTACGGGACGTCTGCGCTTGGTGTGGCGTTTGATTTCTGGAATCCAGGAGTTCCATACGCTGGAGAATGACTCGCGATCACAGACAGAAAAACACAAGACGAGGACCTCGCTTTCTTTGTAGGTGTAGGCTCGGAGATCTTCAAAGTCACTCTAGAGAAGAGAAAAACAGAAAAACACAAGGTTAAGAATTTTGTTAAGTAAATAATATTATTAAAAAATGAACAACATGCCATGAACTACAATGCATTTTGACTGAGAGAGAGAGAGAGAGAGAGAGAGAGAGAGAGAGAGAGAGAGAGAGAGAGAGAGAGAGAGAGAGAGAGAGAGAGAGAGAAACATCCCTATATTTATGACTCAGGCTGAATAAGTAGTCCTCCTCGAATTACCATTTGGGCTCGGCCGACAGCCAAAACGTTATAGCACCTTGGTCTATATCCACCCCTCTAAATTGTCCCAAAATGACCCGCTGCTTCTTGGTTCTATTCTTGCTATGCAAGAGTATCTATTTCCGTCAACACGCACGTAAACAATTTGCCAGTCTACAATGCGAGGAATGTTTCTTATCAAGATCCACCGGCATAGTTTCTGGCCATTACGATGACCAGCGCTTTGTGTAGTGGCCAACTTCTGACCAACTGCCCACATTCCAATGACGCCATGGTCTTCTATCTTCACATTCCATCATGCGGAACTGACCGCGGCTCTTATCGCTGACTCAAGTGACCCTCACGAGGGGAAACACCTGTTTCCTTGTGGGAGCTTGTCTGTATATGACACATTATTGTGAATAGCAATGTGTGGACTGTAGACTTGACTAACCTAATTGCGTCAAGGAATTATATCATAGACCCCACGCCAAGCCAACGGACAGTTGGTACTTAGGGGTAATATAAAAACGAAAGCCGAACATTGACCAAATATGTCTGTGACAATATGTCTTAAGTCGGACCAATTGGAGTAATGGTCATAGCTCGAAGGGGGTACCTATATCGGATTATCTGCCCC